AGTTACCAATCAGTCTAACATGCATGTTTTTGGTTGTGGGAGGAAACTGGAGTACTTGGAGAAAACCCACGCATGCACGAAGAGAACATGCAAACTCCATCCAGAAAGGCCCCTGGCAGGGATTTGAACCGGGGCGACCTCACTGAGAGGCAGCAGCTCTACCAACTGAGCCACCGTGCTGTAGCTGAACATAGATCTTTTTTTTTTTTTACGCTTTGAGACGGCTTGTAATCCAGGTATACAATCCCACATTTTTCAGTCAGGTCATCTGGACAGTTTCTTTTTTTTTTTGTGCTGAAACGTTTCACCTTCCATCCAGAAGGCTTCATCAGTCAAGGAAACACACAACACAAAACTGATTCTGACATCTGTAGGAAACGTAACTGCGTTTTCTGAGATTCCTGACTGAAAATTGTTGGATTGTATACCTGGATTATTGAGCATGGACTTTGTTGGTTTTGAACCAGTTTGACATGACTGTTGACGAGGAAGAGGGCCGGCACTGGAGGAGGGGACGTGCCAAAGATACCATCTTAGCACCAACATAACTGGTTTGTTCCACTTTGGAGTAAGCTGTTTGGAGGAAGAATCAGTTTTGTGTTGTGTGTTTCCTTGACTGATGAAGCCTTCTGGATGGAAGGTGAAACGTTTCAGCAAAAAAAAAAAAAAAGAAACTGTCCAGATGACCTGACTGAAAAATGTTGGTTTGCAACGGCTCGTTTACAACACCAACGGTAAAACAACCTTATCGCTCTGCCATAGCTCCTTTACTACTTTTTTCTTTTACATTTGTCTTTTTTAATTTAAATTAAGAACAACAGTTTACAAACAAACCAAGGCAAACACATTGATCTTATTCAGCTCAAGAATGTCTGACTCGGTTATGTTTCCTACAGATGTGAACTAAAGTTTCATGTCGTAGTAGATGAGAAATAAATTCACTGGGCAATATTTATCATTTTGAGGAATGCTGTAGTTTTACCAAAGTACTTCGTTTTTATAGACTTGGCCACATTAGACTAGTACTTTGTCGTGTAAGAACCAAACAGAGCGACGTCTTCCTCTATTTTAGAGGCGAGTGTATTTTTCAAAGCAAACCAACTGGACGTGCAGATGATCCAGCTGACGGCAGGAAACAGACGGGTCAGAACAACCCAGCGCTTGACATTTGTATTGTCAGAGAAGGGAAAATGACCTCAAAATACCCCCCCCACCCCAGAACTCTGTTTTAAAATGGAGTCATGGATCTACATTTTTTGTTCATCTGAGCTGAGGCTTCATTGTATAAACGCACCTCCTTTCCTCCCAAGATGACGTGGAGTGACTGGGATTAATGCGTAGCAGCAGGGAGTTCCCTGCAGCAGGAGGGGCACGGAGGAGTTATTTCAGCACAACCCTGACGGCCTCTGGGCCACAAAAGAAGGAGCGAGAGAATTAACAGACCGACACCGGTTAATGTTGACTTTCTTCTGCCTCCTGTGCTCTCTGGCTGGCAGCTCTTTGCTGTGAGATAAGAACACGCACGTGTTTGTGTTCTCAATAATAATGAAACTCCCCCCTTCTTTCCAGCATGGTGTTTCCTGAAGATAACATCATTTAACTCTTCCCTGGTTGGGATTATGTTCTGCTCTGATCGCTGCTGTGAACTATATGTATCTGTTTATGTGTGAACTGGTCTGCAGCCAGCGGTCCTGGCAGCGCGGTGCAGAAGGGGTGTCCCCACACTGCTGGGATTTCCAGGGATTCCCCTCTCGTTCCAGACACCGCACTTCCCTTTTCTCTTCACTCACACACGCTCTATTGCAGATACTGTAAAACGGGTTACTCGCCACAAATCCCCACATAACCTCACAAGAACCCAGTGGGGGACACCAACCTATATCTTCTGCCAGAACCAGTGAGTCACATGGATCGCATCGTGCCCTGTTTCCCTGGAGACCCCAGTGTCTCACATCATGAGGGGAAAATATGCACAGATCCATCTAAAAAGTAAATCGTACCCTTTTGACTTCTCCACGGTTTGTCATCTTACAACCTCAAACCTCAAAGCATTTTACTGGGATTTCATGTGATGGAACAACACAACGTTTCGTGTTTATACAAATAAAAACCTGTTTTTTGAGTTTAACTCCCTTCACTCCGATACCCCAAAATCAAATCAGTGCCACTGATTACCATCAGACGTCATCTAATTAATAAATAAAGTCCATCTGTGTGGAACGTGATCCCTGCAGTTCTGCTAGTCACTCAAAATAAGTCGTTTCAAGATGCTTTTCCTGTAAGTCCCAACATTTAAACATACTCTGGTGTGGTCAACAATTTATTTATTTTTGGCCACAAATTTTTCCACAGTTCTACAGAAAACGGGGGATGGCCTGGTCCACCTGCATAACAAACAAAAAGACGCTTAGACACTTTCACACACATCTCTACTGTCACGTATACTGATGAGTGCTGATGGGATACTTTTAACCTACTGCGTCTTCTTATCCAGGCTTTAATAAGAAGCTTGTAAAAGAAGTCATTTCTTCCCTATGTTGCTCTTTTTTTAATTTATTTTTTTATTTTTTTTTGTCTCCACAACTTTATTTTTTCAAATGTTGCCGTAGATTAGAGGCTAATAAACCTTAGGAACCCAACAGGAGATTGTTGCATTTTAAAAGTTTATATATTCACTGCATTCACTAGTTTTTGTTTTCTTTCTAAGAGACCATAAAAACATTAAAAGACTTGTCATTTTAAATCCGTCATATTAAAAGCAGCTTGAAGTTCTTCTCGGTACATCCGGCCACACCTGTGTTTACTTCAGGTACAGTTCCTAGAATTCAGGAGATACTATTTGAGCAAATTTGTTACTAAAACTACAGTTTATAAAATGGGCAAATAGTTATTCTTATTTTGTGTTATTGTAGTAAAGTCAGCTGTTTCTGTCCTTATGGATGAGTTGTTTTTTTTTTCACATTGACGAGGTAGATGTTCCCTTGCAGAGATGTTCCCTTGCAGAGATGTTCCCTTGCAGAGATGTTCCCTTGCAGAGATGTTCCCTTGCAGAGATGTTCCATTGCAGAGATGTTCCCTTGCAGAGTCTAGAGGTGTGAAGGGTCATTAGCAGCTCGTAGACGGACTTCTTCGCCCAGACCATCACAGCCTTTAAATGAAAATTTACTGCTGTATCACAAACTCTGTGACAACAGATTTGTAGAATAGCTACTCTATGTTTTGTATATTTCAAAATGTTCCACTGTTTTTCTAAACTGTAAGTTTTATAAGTCTTTGTTTTGACCATTTTAATATGTACCAGTAGATGCTGAGGTGAAGTTAGGCATTGAGAAATTTGGATCTGATCACTATTTTTATTGGAATAAATGAAGGAAAACGTTTGCAATGATGCAGTAAAAGTGCATTAATTAAACTACATGTTATCCCCAAAATCACAGTATTCTCAGTATATTCTTGAATTATTATGACAGTTTTTTTAGTTGTATTATTACACCAGACTACATAATGTTAATGTAAACTTACTGCCACCATTGTGTTATAAACAGAAGGGCTGGCATCAGGCAGTCCAGGTGGAGTCTGGAAAAACGATGCACGCACTGCTTACACCATAGTGCGATGTAAATTTCCCACTGGTTATCTCATGCATATGCGATGCACACAATGGGAACGCATCATGAATGTTGCACATATTCCATAAATTGTTCATCACAAACCTTTTTACAAACTATGCTGTATTTCTTCATGCACTAAGCAACATAAAATAGTTTAAAACTATGCCAACGTATGTAGCCAAATACAAACCAATGTGGCAGTAGTCTAATGTAGAACAAAGTCTACAGCATTGCTTAAAATATATTTATAAAATTAAATATGCATTTCTGTTTTCTATGTAAATCATTTTATTTCAGAACAGTTGAACTTTCAGTCATTTTCACAAAGGCAGAAAATGATTTATTTCCATAGCAAAAATAGTTCAATGTACGTTATTTATATATCAGATCATGTCTTCTATCTGTAGTGGTCACAATTATTTGGAAAATATTTGCGTTTTAGATTTCAGCCAAAATACAGTGATGGACGCCCTGTAGAACTGAAGTATCCGACTGTAAATGAAGCGGTGAAAATCTAAAGCGTCTTATTAAATGTATAGTATTTAAATGAGATGGGTTTGAACAGTGTTAGAAGCCACCACCTCCTTGTTTTGTTTTCATTTGTATTGCTTGGGGAGGAGATGGGGTGTGGGTGCAAAAATATTTGCCAACAAAGCCAGTCCTTAAACGGCTCAGGGCCTCTTCCTGCCGTTCATTTTGTCTGTTGTTCAGCAGCATGTTTGGTGAACCGCAACTCCCACGATGCTTACACGTTCAAAAAATACAACAAACAAAACATAGAATCATATAAATGTTTGGAACATATTCATTTCACTGGAGCTATACTGTTCAAAGCTACTTACTGCAATTTGATTTAGTTTTAAAAGGGCAACATAAAAAAAAGCCCCTAATTATTGTGCGGCACGCTACAGTGTATTCACTGTTGTAAATGCCCATTTTAAACCAATCAAACGTAGACAAAAAGGACTGTGCACGCATCAGTTAGAGCAGAGCTTGTCGTTGGTTTTGGGTCTGGTATTTTCACTGCACCATTCCAGGACATCGAACCAGAGGAGTTCTGCCTCAGCACTGTGTTTAGGAGCATTGTCCTGCTAGAAACTGAGCCTTAGTTCCAGTCCCAAATCTCTAGAAGTTTCTATTTTTGCTAAATCAAATTTTCTTTCAATCTTGACCAATTTTCCAGACGTTACTAATGAAAAACCTCCTCACATCATGAGGTATCTTAAGTAAACAAAACACAATAAAAAATATTTATCTTTCGCTACCTTTGGTCAACTTTTGACAATAGGCCTTTCATCTCCCAGAGTTAGGATTGTACAGTTCTATCTTTTGACTCTTCATATAACATTTTCAAAGCAGTCTGCAGCAGCAGAGAGTCGAGCTCTGCTCTGATTAATTAAACTCATCTGATCCCCCTGTGCTTGCCTTGTCTCCTCTCACAGATGTTCATCGCAGATAAAGCAGAGGAGTCCAGCTGCACCCTGCATGAGTTCTCAATAACTGGTTCTACATATACTCCTGAGGGACAAATGTGAGTGTGACGCATTTATGACTTACTGCTGGTAACACACAATGACTGTCATCTTCACTCACTGGATCATCTAGAGACATGCAGAGTTTAATAAGGGTGCATTCACACCAGCCCTGTTGTCCCGAACTCTAGCCCGTTTTCCTAGGAAGTCCGGTTCATTTGGGAAGGTGCGAACACGCCATCGAACTCTGTCACGGAACAAAAAGGCGAACTCTGGCCCAGTCTAAAACCTAGGTCTCGGTCCGGTAGAAGAAAACTCCAGCGCGGTTCGAGTACAATGTGAATGCAATCAGACCGGGCCCCGCTCCACAAGCAAGAAGACCGAGACCTAGGTTTTAGCCCGGG